ATTTACAAAATATTTTCCGAAAATAACATTTAATACGCAGATGGCTCGTTTCGCTAATCAGATAATCGAAAATCTGTAATCAGCGAAACAAGGGTCTGACATGTACAATATTCACAACTGTTGGACGAAACTTGACCAGTATATTCACCTTTCAGTAGTGTATATAACGACATAAAACATTTGCCGAAAATAACGGGATTTTAATTAGTGAATGGTTCGTTTCGCTAATTATAAATAATTGTTTTATGAAGTTTTATACACGACTGAAAGTTAAAAACTGCTCAAGTTTCGTCCGATAGTTGTTTCGCCGCGTGACTGCAAATTTCCGATTATCTTTAATTAGCGAAACTAACCGTTTACTAATTAAAATCCCGTTGTTTTCGGCAAATGTTTTAGGGTGTTAAATACACGACTGAAAGGTACATATATTGATAGAATTGTGAAAAGGTTTCTTATTGATGTCATGGATTATAGAAGAGATTATGTAGATTACATTTATTTCCTGTATTTACTTTAAGTTCATAAAGATTCTTTTTTTTTTGTATTTTCTTTAAGTTTTAAAAAGTTTCATTTGTTGTACTTCGTTTAAGTTTTAAATTGTCTGTTTCATTTTTCATTTATATAGTATGTGCTTTCCCAATAATTTTATTGCAGATCCTAATTACTAATCAGTGAGCCCCTGATGTAAAAGGGTAGCATAAATAAATAAATAAATAAAATTACTGGTCATGTTTCGTCTCCGGCGGTAGTTTATTGCTTAAATATTATTTTCAGCAAATATTTTGTAAATATTGTGCGTATAAAACCCATTTTCACTGAATACAGTTTAATTTTTATTATGTGTGTTATCCCGTTTCGTTTCGTTCCGTTTCGTTTCTTCGATTACAACTCAGACTAATAATACAAGTATCAGGGTGAATTCTTCTCTGAGGGGTTTCTCCACACGTGCCAGGGGGAATCTCGCCTCGTTTCTCTATCGCGTCCCCTTGAGGTACGGGATCGGGAAAGTCACTTAAGCTTTACAGTCAAATAAGACACACACAACGAAATACGTTTCAACTTTCGTATTTAGTCAGTCAGTCGAGTACTCTATAAGACACAGCGCCCTGGGGAAAAGTCCCCAAGACTATCGCAAAGCTGACCCAAGACTCTCTCTAGACTGCGTAAAGACTCGCACCAACACTCTCCAGGACTCGACTGCGTCTATCGTGGTGTACTCGCCAAGACCAACTCAAACTCTCTTTATTCATTTTCAAAACCTTAACCAATTACAAAGCAGTAAAAAAGACTCTAGGGCGTAACCTTCAATCATACAGCCAATCACACTAAGTACTGAACACGTCATATCTTTTGATTAATCGTTCACTACATTAGTAGCTGCGAATACCAACTGTCAGAAATAGTAGTCCGAATAGCGACAGTTATCGCATAGGCCTAAATGATGCCAGACGTAACACAGCCATTCGTTAGTAATCAACTAATTAAGTCAGTCAATAGATACGCAAAAGCAATTTCATCATACAAGTATCAGGGTGAAAATCCTGTACTCTCGGGTTCTCCACACTTGCGAGGGGGGAATCTCGTCTCGTCTCTCTATCTCGTCCCCTTGAGGTATGGGATCGGGAATGTCACTTTAACTTTACAGTCAAATAAGACACACACAACGAAATACGTTTCAGCTCTCGTCTTAGTCTCAATCGAGCACTCTATAAGACACAGCGCCCTGGAGAAATATCCCCAAGACTATCGCAAGGCTGACCCAAGACTCGCCCAAGACTGCGTCAACACTCGCCCCAAGGCTCTCCAGGACTGCTCTAGACTGCGTCTGTCGTGGAGTATTCGCCAAGACCAACAAAAACAACTTTATTCATTTTCAAAACTCTAACCAATTACAAAGCAGTAAAAAGACTCCAGAAGGACGTAACCTTCAATCATAAAGCCAATCACACTAAGCACTGAACACGTCATATATTTTGATTAATCGTTCACTACATTAATAACTATGGATACCAACTGTCAGAATCTTAGTCAGAATAGCGGCGGTTATCTGGTAATTAGTTCCAAATCACTGAGCCAAGTTCCGTCCAAAACTTCAAATAGGCCTAAACGATGACAGACATAACACAGCAATTCGCTAATAATCAGTTAATTAAGTCGATTAACAGATACGCAAAAACTAATTCATGACACAAGTCTGAGATTACAATAAGCTTCCTCCGTATGCTCGTGTCTCAAGCGCTCGGCACGTGGTGGTGTATGAATTCGGAGCTAATCAGATCATCATCCACAGCTGTATACCATACGTTTTATGCCATAAACGAATTAACAGTAATTATTTGAAGAATACAAAAAAATTGATATTAGCTCCAAGTGGTATGTGAATGCGTTCGCTTCCTAATGCTATTACTCTTAAACATTAGCACAGATTTCGTTTTTACGGACAGTTTTGTGTGACATATCAATCAAGTATTGTTTGATAACTCGTATAAAGTAGTATTTCATAAGATGAGCGAAAATACCTTAAATATACTTTC